GCAAATATTCTGTACTACTGTATCTCATGATACTGATCATTTAGACGGGGTATGTCTTTGGTAAAGTTGATCAGAAGGTCAAGGGCTGCTGGATGGTGGACAGATTAGTTCGAAATTCTCCCACTAGGTTCTGTCTATCTCCTGATCCTGATTATTCAGAAGGGTGATGTCTTTGGTAAAGTTGATCAGAAAGACAACGGCTGATTGGTGATGTACATATTAGTTCAGCATTCTCCCGCTAGGTGGCGCTTGTGAGAATGCAAATTTTCTGTACTGCCTAATCAGTACATCCAGATCCTGATTATTTATTTATTTATAATCACCATCTTTGGCATCGGAGTTAATTCTATAAGAATAGTTTACTAATATTAAAATCAAAAGCATCACACACATCATTGAACAGTCTGCAACATTTGTCGAGTGGATTGTTATAGCCATAATCAGGTCAGTTTCCAGTAGTCCACAAGAGGTACGTATTGCGGAGACGACGGACTGGAGCGTGGAAGTTGATATCCCGGAGCACACTGATGCAGTCAATATGATTACTAATCATGTCAAAAATAAATAGTCTCTGCAGGATGATTTGACGACTCGATAGTGTTTGCAGTCCATCTGTGTTCGTATGGTGGTAGGTTATCGGGATTGGTCCATGGAAGCTTTCGAAAGTGCGAATCTGACAAAACGTTTCTGGAGTTGACCTATGCTATTGACATAGATATATGCTCGTAGAATCTAAGTTTGCTATCCAAGGTAAGTCCAAAATCTTTAAGAGAATCAACTCGTTCAAGCGGCAATTGATTCATCGAATAATCAAATCTGATCGGCGAGTGGCTACGGATGAAGGTAATGACTTTGCACTTGACAGTGATTACTTGCATTCCGTTCATCTGACACCACAACCGCTCGATGTCAGTTTGTAGAGCATAACAATCTAGGATTGATTTGATCACACGGTAGATTTTCAAATCATCAGCACATAACAACTTACAGGAACTTAAGTGGTCAGAAACTTAACTCCCGGTGCAATATCAAACACATCGAACCTGGCATCATGAACCTTAACGAAGGCCGTCCTGGAGGATAAATATGATTTCAACCAGCGAACCACCCACGGCGGAAAACCAAGCCTAATAAAATCAAGGGTTACCAGGACAGATACATTTTGAGCTTTTCCGCTAGGTGGCACTAGTGAGCGTGTAAATATTCTGTACTTCTGTATCTCAAGATCCTGAGGACGGGTGATGTCTTTGGCAAAGTTGATCAGAAGGTCAAGGGCTGCTGGTTTTTGGACATATTAGTTCGGAATTCTCCCACTATATGGTGCATTCAAATATTCTGAACTGTCTATCTTCTGATACTGATTATTTAGACGGGTGATGTCTTTGGGTAAATCAAGAGCTGCCAGGTGATGGAAAGATCAATTTGGAATTCTCCCGCTAAGTTGCACTAGTGAGCATGCAAATATTCTGTTCTACTCAGGATAGCTTAGCGGCTTAGCTTTGCGATAGCGAGGGCACGAGGGACTTTGTCGAAAGCCTTAGAGAAGTCAATGTAAACGGCGTCTATTTGCTGACGCTTTTCTATGCTACCTGTTGCAGTCATCCTGCTAGCCAGAAGAGCGGACTACCATTGGCGAAAGTGACAATCACTGGAGGGCTAAGCTCCAACCAAAGAAACAAACTAAACCATTCAATTTACTTGCGAATCATTGCTATATTCTCATCGTGCCTGCCCACATGGGCATCCCAGAGTCTAAATCATTCTCCTATCTGGTTCCCTTGTGCTTATGCGACTAACAGATTTTGGGGTTGCTTAATGGCTAAATATGTGAACTCACGCACACGGACCCATGACTCGTTGTTGTTTCGGCTACGTCATCGACCGACCAAGAATGTCGCCCGATCAAGCATCCCGTCGACGCCACGTGAAGTTAGCGCTTGCCTATGGAGCCCAATGAGCACTCTGCTTCCGTCAATCACCGCCTTGGCGAGCAGTTGACTCCCTGCTTCGGCGATGTTGGCCGACGACGTCTGTGGGCCGTTGAAACTCGTCTCTACCTGAGAATGCTGCAATAAGACCCTGCGATGGAACAGCTGATTAGTTCCTGACAACTGGCCGTCCAGATCGATGATGCTTACCCTTTGATGGGGTCTTCTTTGTGTCCGTGTAGCCTTTCTGGTTGTGACCACCAAGCAAGGCTGCTAGCCGGCGATCTAACACGGGTAATGTCGGTCGTATGATTTCGTCCAGTGATGATGCTTTGGTGCGTTCCTATGGAATGCATCATGACATTAGCGTCAAATGAATGAAGAATGGAGTTTACCCCTAGCTCACTTACGGATCGTACTGCTTCCACAAGTGTGCGCTTCGAGTCCGTTCTTGGCGTGTTCGGCTGTAGTGCAATTTCTCCAAGTGCGGTTGGTAGAACGCCGATCGTTTGACTTCGTCCGGTGACGGTACTTCCGCTTGCCTCTGTGGAACGGGTTGCCACCACCCACGTTGCAATCCGAGTCACCGGTCGTTTTTCCTCTGGCGGAACTGCTCTTAAAAGCAAGGTTGACTGTGTCGTGTGATTTCCAACGATTGGCCCAGTCCCTTGACGGTTCTTTCGCTCGTTCCTACGGAACGTGTTGCTTCCCCGTAAGCCGAAATCGAAAACTCCAGACTAGCTCTTCTACGAGTATGGCTGCTGGTCAACTTCCCGTCACTTTTCACAAAGCACACCAAGCGCGTGAATCCACCGTACACTGGAGAATAAGAATGACGAAGCAAAAGCATCCGATCTCGCTGCTGCCCTTGCTCGCTTTTGTCTGTTTGATGCGTCCGTGTGAGTGCAATCTTTTCGCTCTCTCGTTGCGCTCGTTTGCAGCGTCGCCTTGCAAAAGGCCTTTTGCGGTGGAGTATTTTGACTTGGCGGTTGGTCGATGCGTGCGTACGAGCGTACTGATGACAAAATTGTACTAATTCTTCGGCACTTAAAGCTAATGTTTCTCTGGTTTGTTAATTTAACTGAACAAGTGCAAGAAAAAAGCAGAATTTGTTTACATCGTAACAACCAATAAGAGTGTTGGTGTACGACATCAAGTTGGATATCGTCGAGTGCTTTTTCATTAATCCATGTTGGAACTCCGAGTTTATAGATTGCACAGCGGGATACAACTTGTCACGCAGCTGACTTTCGAGAACTTTGGTCAAACAATTAAGGATCGTGATATGTCGGTAGTTTTCCACGTTGTGAAAGTGACCTGACTTGAAGATCGGTGTAATTGATGTAAGCTTCCAGGAATACGGCAGAACGCCATCCAGGATGGAACGATTCAAGATAGACATAACGGGTGTGGTCAACGATGCCGCAACATTCTTGATGAAAGACGGTGGAATATGATCCGGACCTGGACCTTTCAATGCATCCACCGAACGAATGGCTTTGAAAATAGCGTCATGGCTGAAGTTACATAATCTGCTACAGACGAATGTTGCAGTTCAGTAAATGGTCGATGTACTGCTGCTGCGGAGTAGTTTGATCGAGCTCGAAAACGCTTCGGAAGAGATCAGCGAGCGGTGGACGAGCCTCGATTGCAGTAGGTGACGTCTGCCGGAATACCAGCTGATCTTTTGCGAGCGTTTACGAAAGACCAGAGTGACGATGGGTTTTCTTGGAAGCCACTCTGGAGGTTACTTCATGCAAACTGTTGTACTCGGCTTCTGTAGCGAAAGTAACGTTTACCGGCCTTATGCAAATTACGCAATTACGGATTCCACCACGGTTGTTGAAAATGCATAGAAGGTCTACAAGCCTTTACCGGAACAGTATAATGGATAAGTTGATAAATATTGTCATAGAATACGGGCATGGCGGCATCAATGGTAGGTAGGTTAAGTAATTGCACCCAATCCAATGCTGAGATCCTCGCATTAATAAAATCGAAATCATTAGAAGAATGGTGTCTTTGGCAAAGTTGATCAGAAAGGCAAGGGCTGCTGGGTGATCAACAGTTCATTTTAGAATTCTCCCGCTGACGGAGCTAGTGAGCATGTAAATATTCTGTTCTGTTTATTCTGTATCTCCCGATCCTGACATCACCCAAGTAACATTTCAAGTTTTATCGTAGTTTTAAAGCGTTCTACAAGTCTAAATCATGGTCTTCAGAACCCTCATAAAACCCAAATTGCTACTTTGGTCAGCCTTCCAAAAAGCTAAACAGGAAGACACCGGATCCTTGTTGCTAGACATATACTATGTGTTCGAAGTTCTCCCGCAAGGTGGTGCTAGTGAGCATGCAAATATTCTGTACTCTTTTATCTCAAGATTTTAATTACTTAGACGAGTGATGTCTTCATCAAAGTTGATTAGGAGGACAAGGGCCGTTGAGTGGTGGTAATATCAGTTCGAAATTCTCCCACTTGGTGGTACTGTCTATTCTGTATCTCCATATACTGATATCTTCAGCATAGTTAATAAAGAAGCATACAGAATGTAGAATGTACACATTTTCATCAACGTAATTTTAAAAAAACTGCCCCCGAATTTCCAGAAAAAATAATGACGTCTCCTTTGCTCGGGTTCGTCACTTGTCCAAGCTTTCAAGTCACTTTCAGTTTTCGCACCAAGTTTCCGCTGCCCTGCTCTAATGCGGCAAATCGATGCCGTCGTCCGCTGCACGACCTCAAATTTCGACCATTTCCATATCATGCCGGCGGGATCTTTTCGCCGCACGGTTTCAAAAAGTGAAATTTCTCCGAAGAGATGCGCTATCGGCGTCGTTTCGTCGGAGGAGCGGGAAATCTGACCCGTTAGCGGTGGGAAAATGGACAAATTTGGCTGGTTTTTTTTTTTCGGACGAGATTAGATTCAGTCATAATCTCACGCGGTGAGTTGTGATGAGTGTGAAATAGATCTGTCACCTGGATGTTTATTCCGCGGGCGGCGAGAGCGCGGTGTTGTCACGATCACACTTTTTGACGGAATCTAGGAATTAGTTTAGGTCAACCGGACTTACCGTAGCGAGTCTCTCACTGGGGAGGGACGAAACGGCAGCTGCTCAGGTCACTCGCTCCGTGGATGAGATCATAAATTGTCATTTCGTGGTCCTGCAACAAGAGAGATAGAAGACAAACTGTGAATGTTTTGCGGATTGCTATCGTTTGCAGGTAGTGACTTTCCCTGAGACCCCAGGCAAGCGCCATCAGTGAGTGAGCGAAATTCTTTTCTCATACATGGAAGCTGGCGCGATTACAATCAAGCTCGGTGGTGTAAAAGCGTGAACATAAATTATTCACAGCCACATTCATTGGCTTTCATTGCAGTGATGGTGGGGGAGGGGGGAGGGTGGTGTGGTGAGCAGAGATTTGAAATTGATAACATGGTTACGGGTGGTGTATGTTGTTGGGTCTACTATAGGAGGCATATATGGGCCATGTAGGAAGAAGGACCGCTGCCAGAAGCCGCCGCTTCTGGTTGGAATATGATGACGACCACTGCGACGAGGGAACGGTCGAGATTGGGAGCGATAGCGAGATTCGATGGTTACGCTTTTACCGGCCCACGAGAAGCGTGGGAGCGTGATTTGTTACGAGCTGCTGGTGCTGCTCACTGAGATGGCAATGTTTAATAAGTTTGCTGTGGTTGACGGAAGCTTTTGATTCGTTCGGTGAAAATTCTTTGAAGGTTTTTGAAGTGATATCAAGAATTTTCAAGGGAATTATGAGAAGTGATTTGAAGGTCTGAAGAGTATGCGTTTTCTGCGTAAATCCCTTCCTTGCCTTCGTCCATTTTGGTAAATCTCGAAGACTTTCAAATACGCAGGTGCAAACAGAACAGGTAACGGAAATCAAGATAATATGAAATGCGTGAGATTGATTGAGTTCGAAAGCATCCAAACCCATCAACATCCTTGTGCAAATCGAAACCACTTTACTGCGATAAGAATCAAACCGTTATCGACCATTTATCATTTGCCCATTCGAATCGAAGTAATAACATCTCAAAGATTTCATATTTCAACTTCGATCGCTCTCCCTCCCCCTGGTCCCACCTCCAATTGCAATTAATTACCATCTCCACACTTTTCTTGCCAACGATTTCAAATTGAAAAAAAGTGTTTTTTTTTATTTTTCAATTCTAACAAGCCTCAATCGTCGTAGTGTTTTGTTTTAATGTAAACCTCACAACCCACGTGGAACCGTCGACGAGTCGTAAGCGATCCAGAGCATAGACAACCGAACAGAAAACCAGGAAAAAACGGGCTTCCCTGCTGATTAATGACCAACTTTGCCTCAAGTGCCAGGGCAGAGAGGATCGCCCCGTTTCCAACTCCTCGGCACACATCGGGCAGGAATGTGGCATTTGGTCTGCCCGTACCCAACTCGGTACGAATGCCGTTCCGTAAGCCTCGACGGGACTGCGGGTGAATTGAATATGAGCTCACGGCTTGCAAGCCCCCCTTCTGGTGTGGATAATTTCTCAAATTCGTAATGCTATGATATTTTAATTTGGTTTTTTGCTCTCCATTGAATTTATGCCCTTTTTGCTGTTTCACACACTCGGTGCTCATAGGGACTCCTGCTCATGCGGGGGAGAAAAAAAAAAGGTGCGTGGTGTGTGTTTCTATTCGGTCTGTAATTAATTTGCCATACTATTCAGGACGGGCAGAGGGGGTGTTGTTAGTTTAATGTGCTTCGCAGATTTCACTAATGCAGCTTGAAATTTTATGGCCTGTGGAGCATTATTGGTAGCTAATAAAATCATAATTTACTCCTCCTCTGCGCGGAACCGTTCTCCATTTGGAAGGGGGTTCATCTTGGTCGTTATTGGATAAGAAAGGGCCCCCAGACTGGAGTATCGAATGTGCGTGGGTTTTAATTAGACGGTTTGTGAAAGGGATGCTCGTGAATGATAGCATTATGTTAACTGTTTAATGGGTTAAATATTTTTCGGATTAATGGACGGAAAATATGGCATATACTTGAATCATAGTAATGACAGGTTTGTGAAAAAAAAATGAAGGAGTATGTCGTAAGGAGTTGCCATACAAAAAATTAATTGGTGTTTTTAAAGGTGGCATACTTCGCAGATAGTGCTAATGTTGATGATTGCCTTTCGATACGGTTAAAAGGCTTAAGAATTCGCACTTTGAATGGACTGAAATCATAGCTTTTAAGGAACTAAGTGATTCCCGTAAATACTTTTCCCAGACATGGCGAAGTTATTTCGAGTAATTCGCAGCAGTAATTGACAATTGACATGGGCAAGTACATAGAGATAGTAAATATCTACCTTCTTTGATCATCCCCATACACTTTACTTTCAACCTTACTACCAAGAGAGTGAGCTACTTTTTCTCTCACACTATTCTCTCTCTCACGAGCTCAATCGGTCTACATGTCATGTATTTTGATGATACTCGATTTGTGATTTCCCTCTCACAGACTTCAGAATAGAGTACCTGGCACTGAAGAGATTTTTGGTATCCTTATTTATGCACTTAGATTATGATCCGAAGTCCTTTCTATTTTGGCATATTCGAAACCAAGGATACTTTCTAAGCCCCGTCCCGTTCCAAAAAACGACGGGAAATCCTGTTAGGGGATGGGTTTAGAACGTTGTTCAAAGTACGCAAAAAAGGAGATACTTCGGATGATAATCTAAGTGCATAAATAAGGAGGACATGACATTGGACATCAATGTCTGGTCTCTAGACGTCAACTTGTTTCCGTAAACCGGAAGCCGCCATCTTCTTGCATGATCCTGAAACTGCTTAAATTTAATGTAACTGCTTTAAAGTTATCTCATCTTCTCCCTTCCTTCCTTCCTCTTCGCATTTCAAGCTTATTGCTTGTGGCATATTAGCTTATTGCGTGCTCTCAACTTAGTGTTCTAGATGCACTTCCACAGTTATTAATCGAGATCTTTCGATGCCTGCTACCATTTTTGCATTAGTATAATTGTGTGGCAAGTACAATCATACCCTATGCCCAGGGAGTCGAGAAATTTTCCAACCCGAAAAATTCCTAGACCGGACCGGGAATCGAACCCAGTCACCTCCAGCATGGTCTTGCTTTGTAGCTGCGCCTTAACCGACTGAGCTAAGGGAGGCTCCCTCATCTTCTCCCAAAGATCTCTAAACATCTCTAAAGTATGAAAGCTTCTACTAAAATTTCTAAAAATAAATACTGAACTTCTCAGGGGTTGTCTGATCTACCCTGAAGGTCTCGGAACTTGATCAAAGAATTGCAGTCGTATGAAACTAATGGAGCTGCTCTGAGCTTTTTTATATTCCTCGACGCTCTTGGAGCTTCCCCAAGGTTCTCGCAATTCTCCTGTAGTAGAAATCAATACAATGTGGTCTCATTTTAAATTCGCGATATACTTCTGAAGTTTCCTAAAATTCTCAACCTATCCTTACGGGTCCTTAATCCACCCGAAAATTCTGCACTTTCTTTAAGATCCCAAAAGTTATTGGAATTGACCTTAAGCTTCCTGTAGCTTTTGGAATTTTTTTTAAGGTTCCCACAGTTTACCTTAAGTTCTCTGGACCTCTGTGAAGTAGTCTGGACTTTCTTGAAATTCTCAGAACTTCTTGAAAGTTTCTGCAACTTCTCGGAAGTTAATAAAACCACCTTGATTTTTTTCTAAACTTCTCCAAAGTTCCTGAAATATTGCAGAATATTCAAATCAAAATGAAACGAGTTTTAAAAATCCAGTTCAATGGTAGTCATTTGAGGTGCCCAGGATCCACTGGCCACATCTGGCCATACTGTAGGAACCCACGGAAAGTGGCCAGTTTGTGACTTGGGTTATAATCCATCAGAGTTCGTCTATCAAATCACATCATATGAGCACTTTTGGTTGGCTTTTTATTAGTAAAAAAGGACAGACTTCACCATAAGTGGATTAATTCAGTTTTTTTTTCTATTAGAATCTTGCAATGGTTTCTAAATCCAGGATTTTTCTTTTGCTTATTTAAGAGGGTTAAAGCAAATGCAGGATCTGCTATCTCAGAGAATTAAAACATTTGTCCAATATCATCGATGAGATTCCAGGATAATCGTGATAAGAACACGAGGAAAATGTTGGGGATAGTTCTAAAAGAGTTCTAAAAAGCATTTCAAAGGAACGATGAAAAGAATTATGCAGGATGTTAAATGGGAAGCTTCAAAGGGGGAGTATTTCAACGCAATTATCTAGGAAATTTTCATGGAACTTATAGAAGCATTCCATAGGAATTCTCAGGAACATTTCAAAAAAGTCCTGAGCAAAAATCCTTCTGGGAGTAGTTTCGTTGAAGTTATTGGAGAATACTAATAAAACGATGATAAATATTACATGAATATTTTCAGGATAATACGAATGGGAATTCCAATATTGTTTGTAGAGAATTCCTAGAGTGCTATGAGTAAAATAACAAGGAAATACTAGAGAAAGTACTATGATGAACTTTAAGGAAACACTAAGATGATTCTAAGGAAATTTATGGAAAAATCATGTGATTCATGATGTCAGACTTAAAGTGATATTTTTATACAATAGATGAGCCGAGGATCGCCAGCAGAGTTCTTTTCTGATAATGGGACTAACTTCCATGGAGCCGATAATCAGCTGAAGAAGGAGATAGAGGAACGAAGTAGGAAACTTTCATCGGTGTTCACTAATTCCAAAACGCGTTGGTCCTTCAATCCACCAGGAACGCCCCATATGGGAGGGGTCTGGGAACGATTGGTACGATCGGTGAAAGTAGCCATAAAGTCCACGCTGGAAACAACTCGAAAGCCCAACGACGAAACTCTGGAGACGGTAATCATCGAAGCGGAAGGCATGATCAATAGTCGGCCATTAACCTACATTCCGTTGGAGTCAGCAGGCCAGGAGGCGTTAACGCCAAATCACTTTCTGCTAGGAAGTTCCTCAGGTGTCAAGCAGTTGTCAGTTCTGCCTACGGACTATCGAACGACGTTGAGAAGCAGCTGGAACTTGGCGAAGCATCTGGCCGATGAGTTCTGGAGAAGATGGATCAGGGAATACCTTCCGGTGATTTCACGGCAATGCAAATGGTTCGAGAATGTGAGGGACATGAAGGAGGGAGATTTGGTGC